TGTGAAAGACTCCGCATTTATTGCTTCAACTTTAAGTGTTTGACAAGATGAGTATCTAATTTCTAAGAACTTGAGGCTTAAACTCGAAATTCTCGGATTCGACAATCCCTTACAATTCTTCAAGAAAAATTCGTCAAGGGAAGGGCATCCCGTGACTAAACCACATAATATGTGATCATCCAATTTGGCAGCTTTCAAGGATAAAGATTTCAAGGATGGAAGACTTACTGAACAAGCACCATTCAACTTCAGACCTTCCAACTTCAAAACATTCAATGACCCCGCACTAAGCACCGCTTCAGGTAAGCAGTAGAATGAATCAGAAATGTAGCTCCACTCAAATTTTGGTTTCGCACGAAGATCAAATTCCTCAACATTGCTTCGAATTACGAAGGATAACCAATTATCTAGCGCAGATCTACCTCCATAATACTCAATATCAAGCTTAAATCTAGTTATGAATGAATCAGAAATGTAGCGCATGCTTGCCTCGCGGTGTTTCAAACACTTGTCGACGAAATTACAGAATCTTTTGCGAGAGTGAAAGGCGGAGTGCGTAATATCAGCATCTGAGAACTCCAAGGAAGGGACTGAATACCACATGCGTCTCCAACGCTTCGAGAGGAGGCTCATCCGAACAACATCAATGGTGGGAATAAAAGAGAGAATGCGATGAATTACAGGATCAGGTAATCTTGAAATTCTGTCTAAAGCCGCGCTGGTATTTCTGTCTCTAAAGTTTGGTTTTACTCTTTTTGTAGCCATTTGACTCCAAGAGACTAAAAGAAAAATGAGGAATCACATATCAAGCAAAGAGAAGGGGGTACAAAATTTTTTGATCCTGAACTGAGAAGACAAAAGTCCCTTCTTATATAATAGTAAAAATCTAGTAGGAAAGTTTAAAAGTCTCGTCTGTTAATTTTCTGTCATGGTCTAGGAATTCTAAAGTACAATATTAATCACGTGTCTTCTCTATCATGGTCTAGGAATTCTAAAGGTCAATATTAATAATGTGTCTTTTTTTTATCACGTGTCAATTTTAAAAATCTAGTCTGTTGATTTCCTATCATGGTCTAGGAATTCTGAAGGAGGTTGTAAATGCATATTTGGGGTCGCAAATAAATTAGGAAATTAACTAGTCTCTTCGTATAACTTGAGTCATATTGTTATCAACAGTTTTGATTGGTTACAAAGGAGGTTTTTTTTTTCTTTTTTTTCTTCTCAATTTGGGGTGGGAAATTTTAGCTACGGTTGTGCAAAGGGAACCGCAAACCCCTCTAAAACCTCACAAAATTTTAAAACATAAAACTCAAAAATTTGATTTCTAACCTCAAACCCCATAGAGTTCTTTTTTTTAATTTTGATTTCTAACCTCAAAAATTTTTCTTTCTCCCATTTCACCCCTACTCAAAAAAAGTTGTCATATCAACCCCTCGAAAACAAAATATTATGCAACATTTTCAAAACATAAAACTCATCGCCATCTATTGGAATATGTTTTATGATCTTTTTTGAGAAATATATATTGAGTAGTTTTGAAAATACAGTAATACTATTTTTTATTTTGGTTAATTTTAAATTTGACCACCAATCAAAAGGTTATCTTATTTTTTTTTCTCTTACAACTCAAGATGCCACAAAATGCCCATTTCTCCTTTAGTTTATTAAAAGTTTTTGTCAATACGATTTTAATTTTTTAACGGTTTTAAATTTACTATATTTATTTTTACTACGTATTTAAATATGCCACACGTGATTAAAACTATTAAAAAAATTAATACCTTAATGTCGGAAGTAGCAAAGTTGCAACTTTTTTTGGAGAAAGTTTTGCATCACTTCGACTTGTAAGAAGTAAAGTGAGACAACTGTTATTTTCGTGGCTAATTTGAAAATTTTTTATTTTCTGTAGTTAATTATTTCTCAAAAAAAAATAGTATGCGCCCCCATTTACTTCGAAGGTTGGCTCCGCTCATCCAGTTCCATGTCATAACCGTTTTCCAGCAATTTAAATTTTCTCGACACATCAAAATATGCATCACTTTACAGTAGACTCATATGTTCACGATCCATTAATACTACTGGTACATACAATTACAACTTACTAAGTACGTAAAGATGTAATTACTTATGTGTGATAAGTACATAATTTCTTGCTTAAATGACCTTGCAAATTCATTATTATCATATAAAATAAAATGCTATAGTACACCCCACTTCTACATGTTATATACTTGATTGAAGACTTTCCCTATAAATATAATTATACTTCGGTCCCTGCGGAGCCACATACGTGTTTCAATCAATGTCTAACTAATTAAATTATAACACGCCATTTAGTATATCTAAATATTTAAGTAAGAAAAAGTTAGTTAAAAATATATTTTATTCTTTCAAATGATGCGGCACCGTGGTGGAGATTTGGTGAGTTTTTGGAGCGCAATTTTCGGTCCTCTGACAGTGATATGATGTTGTTGCTTTGAGCTCTCGTCCATCTCGCCGGTGCGGATTTGGGAGACGTGATGTGTGGGGTGCTCACTGCCAGAAATGGACGCTTTGGGACTTCCAAAGATACGAGATGTGCTATGTTTCCAATGGACCGGTGGTATGGGGGGCTCGATCCCGATTGTACAACATTTTCTTTAGAGATCTCCATATTTTGGTTTGAGGGTCGGTAGTTATGCTCCTTTCATTGCAGCTCTTCTTAGATTCGATTGCCTACTCTATGGTTATTGAGTCCTCCCTGTTGGTTGTGGCTATTTATTTTTTTCATTGTGTTTATTGTTTCGTAATAAAGGCGTTGATATTTCGGCCTTATTGGAGTTGGTTTATGTTGTTTTGTTATTATATTAGTTTTTTTAATAACGGAGGTGGTTTCTCCACCTTCTGACATTATCCAACTAGATTTGATTCTATGTCATGCCACTCGTGTCCCTATTATTTGGGGTCTGGTCTCGATCGATTGGGTTAATACATCGACTGTAAAGGTCCCCGTTGGGTCTTGGCACTTGTATTTCATCCTTGTGCTTCATCCGTCTATACTGGTGAATCCAATCAATATTTCGGGTCGAATTTCCTTGTAAGTGGTGCTCACTTGCAACTAGTTTGAGTATGAAATTTGTTTTAATGAAATGAAATTTTTTCCTTTAAAAAAAAAAAATCTGATTGATTACTTTCAACACCATTCTAGACACTAAAATTAGACAAATAATTTGAGTCCAGTCTAGAGAGTGATAATATTTTATTGAATTTTGTATACGTCTTTATGCAATAATACAAGGCTTTATCAAAAAGGGAAAAGGGAAAAATCGAGTAATTACGAATAAATGAAAATTCTAGGTGTTACCATATTCAGAAAAATTACCATATGCGACTTCTTAATGGAAACATTTCATCATTTGTTTCTTAATTTCCAAAATTGTTGCTACAATTATGGTTGTTCCTTAATAAATTGGAGAGGGAATTGGGTTTCTTGATTTTGGTCTTCCCCAAAATGGTGGGTCTAAGAATATGGATGTGATATTTGAATTAGACTCGAATCTAGATTGATGAGTTATATTGAGATTCTGATTCTGTTTTCGCAAAGTCACTTTGAATGATAACAACCTAAGCACCAGGAATTTCAAAAAAAAAAGAAAAAAAGAGTAAACCCGAAAAAAAGAAGAAAAACCATAATAAAGAGACGGTGAATATATTTAATTAATCTAATGCTTCAATTGATGTGGTATAATTTTATTGGTGAGATAAAGAAAAGGACGGAAAAAAGGTGACTGAAAATCCGGGCTGAGGAGCAAAAGGAGGAATCCGCCCGAGGAGGGGCTCGTGTCTGATTAGCTAGTTGGTGAGGCAATAGCTTACCAAGGCGATGATCAGTAGTTGGTCCGAGAGGATGATCAACCACACTGAACTGAGACACGGCCCAGACTCCTACGGGAATTGATATACCCTTCTTCTCTCTAAGTTCAGATTTATTGTTATCAGTTTTTTGTCTCAATGCTTGTCCCTCCACTAATTACTTACCATGTCATCTAAATTTAGAAGTCTGACTACATAAATAAAAATAAAATACTAAAAATACTTAAGCAAATCATAAGGTGTTAAAATTTAATTAGAGAGACAGCTACCAAAACAAGAAAATAGGACAACAATCTTGATTCCTCCCCTCTCGGTACCCAAATCTATTTTCAAATTATGTTCTATTTTAAATTACTATCAAATTATCAAGTTTCTCGAAAAATACAATACAACCCCCGTTTATTTTCTTATAATTATTCTCCTAATAAATTTAACAATATTATAGTAAAGATAGATTTTTTAAAGAAAATTAAAAAATAAAAAATTATTGTGTGAGGTATGTATGTAACTTTGTAATTACGGTTACTTTTGATTAATACATCTGTTAGGTATTTTTATTAGTTGACAATTTAATAACAATCTTGTAAAAATTTAAAAAATAGGTTTCAGAGAATTTCGGATTGCAAAAGAAGATTCAGAATCAGATTTAAAGTTGAAGTTGCAAATTTTTTTGACTTGTGATATGTGGAGATAAGGATTAAAAATGATGATTTGAATTTGAATAGAAGATGGCTTATTGCTGAAAAAGTGATATGGATTTAGTTTCAAATTTAAATGGAGATAGCTTGCAAGTCAAGCTTAATTCGGATTTGATTTTTTTTGTGAAGTAATCCGAATATGACGTGGAGAAGATTTTAATTCAAATTTAAGAGTTGCATATTTGAATTTATTAGAGATGATTTGGCTGCACTTGGTTAGTGATTTACGTGAGATAAGTTTTAGGGTATGTTTAGTTCGCTAATTCGAATTTTTAATTTGAGTTGAGATTTGACTTTATGTGAGAGCTTTTTACTGTAGTAAAAAAGTTAGATGTGATTGTTTTTAAGAGCCTTTTACTGTGACAAAACTCGAATCGGTGAAATGAACTGAATGTTAAAATACTACAAAGGTGGAGGTGTAGTGTAAGTAGACTAAAGCATTGGGTTTGGTTTAAAAGTTCAAATGGTTCCGGAGAGTGGCACCCAAATAAACAACTTAATTATTACTTCAATTTTTGTCCAATCCGAACATGCAACAGTAATTTAATTTCTAAAAGCATTATATGTTTGCACTAATTTAAGACAAACTGCAAAACCCACACTAATTTGAAACAAAAGCACTCGTACGTAATTCATAAACCTAGTTTAAATCTGACCAAAATCATGATCTGCAAATCTCGTCAACTCTATGCGCCTGAAAATCTGTATTCATGTGATGAATTTTATTGAAAACAAAGGACAAAAAACAAAAAAAAAGAAGCAAATTACACTAAATAAAATTAGAAAACAAAACTAAACTTCCAAAGTATCTTTTATCCATCATATAGTAAAAGACATATTAAATTAGTGCCATGTACTGTATGGAGAAGACATGCCAACATGCAACACGATGGGACTTATTTCTTGCTCTAACAATCACCGAAAGAAAGGGAAAAAGAAAACAGAAATTTCAGAAATGCATATTTCCATTCCCAAACCCTAGGCGAGCATGGCCAAACGACGATGGCTGCAGCGGGACTACAACCGCCAAAGAAGTAGCGTTTTCCGGTGGCGCTGCCTTCAACTCCTGAACCCTTGCAGCCACTCTCCTCCTTAGCTCAATCAGCGCGGCCATATGCTGCCTCAGCTCCTCCATTCCCATACCCTCTATCCCCTCGTCCCACCAGAACTTTTCGCCGCCGATCTTCTCTTTCTTCTTCTCCTCCGCCAACCTAGTCTTCTCGGCCTCAAGCTCTTTCACTGCCTCGACATAATCTCTGTTAAACTCTTCAAAAACATTCGTAACAACATTAGTAGAAGTGCTGGCGGCGGCGGCGGCAGCAGCAGTATTCGTGCCATGAGCGTATCGGAGGACGATGGAGTCGACGGAGGGGTGACCGAAGGCGAAGAGCTTGCTATTGGGGGAGAAGACGAGGGCGGCGACCTCGGAACCACAAAGGACGCTGAGCTCGGCGGCCTTTTTGAAGAGGCCGGAACGGCGCTTGGAGAAGGTGACTTGTTTGTTGCTTCCGTTTTCAAGCTTTTTAATTTCTATTCTCTGCCGGCCCTGGGTTTTCTTCTCCTTCGTGATCTCGTTCAATACAGCCATTGATTTAGACGAAGAAAAGAAAGAAAAAAAAAATATTAGGACGAGTTTAAAAACTCGATGAGATTTTGGTTAGCGTCCTTGTCTTTTTATAAGGTATTGTGCGCAGGTCTGTTCTCCCTTTTTGTAATGCGATTCTTCCTTTTTGTTTCCATATATTGTTGATTGGAGAGTATTTCCTTATTTAAGCAAGTTTCCATATAGTGATTAAAAGAATCAATGTATAAAATCGACCGGGAAATTAGTCCAACCTTTCTCTTAATATAACTTTTAAGGGGAGTTTGTTTTTAATTTATATATTACGAATGTATTTAGATAAATATTGGTGTGTGAAACAATTAATATGTAAATGTAAGGGTTGTTCATGATCTATTTGGTCCCAAACCGTTAGGTTTTTAGGCCTGACTACTATTAGTACAGTTTTAAAAAATCCAAACTCTATCAGATTCTTTCTATGAGATATAACTAGACCAAACTGTTAGTAAATAGTCTGGTTTGGTTAAACAACAGTTTGGACTGTTAGATTTTTTAATTAACAAAATCATATGTCACATAATACATATCATTCTTTAAAATCACAAACAACAATAATATATAATAAAAACAAAAGTCCATAACTATTAAACAATAATATTACAACCATCCAAAAGGTAACAACATTAACACGCAATCCAAAGCAAAATAAAATTCATAACTAGTGATATTATAGTCATCCAAAATTAAAAGGTAGCAAATAACAATCACTACAAGAAACATGGCTATTAGCAACGATAAAAAGTCGTTGCAACAAATGGAAAGTCGTCGCAAATGTTGTTTTAGCAACCACTTGTCGTCGTAAACCTATCGTCGCAATTGATTCATCGCAAAAAAAATTTTTGCGACGAAAAGTAGTCGTCGCAATTATATTTTCGACGACAATCGTCGTAAATGAGTCGCTGCATTTATTTCGTCAGTTACATCGTTAAGATGGCATGACATTGAGTTTTTACACCGACATTTTCGAATTAAGTCGTCGTAAAAGATGAAAATTTAGCTGACATGACTTATATTTTTTACGACCACAATTGTCGTCGCAAATAATATTTTAATTTTTTATTTATTTTTATTATTTTACTAATTAATGTTGTATATTAATATAGATTTAAACCCAATAATAAATATAATTCATGATATTATAATAATAAAAAAGAAGTAAATAAAAGGAAATAAATAATAAAAAATATAAATAAAAATTATTATTGTAAAAAGTAAATAATAAAATAAAATAAAAATGTAATTATAGTAGAAATATGCGGAAATACAAATTGTTATATTAATAAAAGTCTAATCTCCTAAATTGGCAGTGTCACTAGAATCATCGTCGTTATCATCAGAAGGATTTGGATGCGAATGACCTGGACAGACATACGACACAGTAGGAGTAACCGCTGGGAAAGTCATATTGAGGTGCATTTGAGTGATGAAATCCTGCATCTAAATTTTAAATATTTTGAGCATCATTGGGCGTAAATATAATTTCCCTTGTTTCATTCTCCCTACCAAAAGCTCTTCTTTAGGTATGATACGATTGCTTCATTCTTCTTCTTCTTTTTGGAATTTTGACCGTGGTTTATCGCTCAGAATTGGGTTATTTTTCCATATTTTCTTTGGGTTTTGGTTTAAATTTTTTATTTGCTGTTAAGGTCGGGGTACTTTTATATGATCAGTTTTCATTGTTCTTTTGCTTTTCAAAAAGAAGAAAAGAAAAGAAAAGAAAAGAAAACTAACTGTCCATTAGTTACATGAACCATATAATTATAACTATTTAGCCCCGTTGCAAATGTATCAATCTTGATCCATACTTTCTTGCTTGTTATGATGATCAATATGTATCAATTTTTTTTATGATTGTTTGCATATTGTTCCTTTTTTTTCTTCTCTTGCATGATGTATTATTTACTTACTATTATGCTTGTTTAGATGGGAATTGGAAAAAGAAAAAGATAGTGTTGAGTGTTCCTAAATGGAGGGTATTATACCACGAAGTAAAGTTATATGGGACCTCAAAACTGTAGATTTTTTTTGTGGTTTATGTATCAATACTTGTTTTTTATCTACATAAAAATTGTTAATGACGAAATGAGAATATTAGTTATTAGTGCTCTAATCTTAGAACAAATTTATGCTCTTTTTTTTCCGAAAATAAAACAAGTATTTGTTAGATATATATTTTTGCATAATGTCTATTTCGATCATTTTAACCACTCACGATATTTAACCTTATAGTTTTCCAAACACTATTATACTGCTTTTGGAAGCAACAACACTTTTAAAGCCCGTTTAGTTCCCTGATTCGAGTTTTTAATTTGAGTTGAGATGTGACTTTATGTAAGAACTTTTTACTGTAGCAAAAAGTTAGATGTGACTGTTTATGAGAGCTTTTTACTATAGCAAAACTTGAATTCTAAACTTGAATCGATGAAATGAACGGGGCCTTAAAATTATAGTTTACCAAACACTCGATTGCTTTATGTCACGGTTATTTTTTCCATCAGCATAGCATAGCTGACAACAATTCTTCAAAAATCTACTGTGCTACCAAATTGGGCTATTGTCATGGCTACAAAAAGAGCAAAATCAAGCTCCCAAAACCACAATAGTAGCCTGGCCGTGGACAGAATTTCAAGATTAGCTGATCCTGTAATTCATCGCATTCTCTCTCTTATTCCCACCATTGATGCCGATCGGATGAGCCTCCTCTCGAAGCGTTGGAGACGCATGTGGTATTCCGTCCCTTCTCAGATTCTGATATTTCGCGCTTCCCCTTTCATGTTCTCAAAGCATTCTACAAGTTTGTCGAGAAGTGTTTGAGGCACCACGAGGCGAGCATGCGCTACATTGCTGATTCGGTCATAACTAGATTTAAGCTTGATGTTGAGTACTATGGAGCCTGATTTAAGCTTGATGTTGAGTACTATGGAGCCAGAGCTACCCTTGATAGTTGGTTATCTTTCGTAACTTGAAGCAGCATTGAGGAATTCGATCTTCGTGTGAAACCAAAATTCGTGGAGAAAAGTACTTAGTTCAAGGTCATTGGTTGTTTTGAAATCGGATAGTCTGAAGATGAGTGGTCCTTGCTCAGTTGGATGATTAGATATTAAATAGTTTATTGTTGGGATGCCCTTCAGTTGAGAAGTTTATCTTAAAGAAATGCATCGGTTTGTTGAATCCTAGAATTTCGAGCTCAAGCCTCAAGGCTCTTAGAATTGCAAATGCAGCATCCGGTTTTGACACAATTCAAGTTGAAGCTACAAATGTGAAAGTATTTCGGATATTCCGGTGATTATACGGACATCAATCTTTCAGGTTCCAGGGCAATCAAAATTCTCGCCCTGCTCGACAATTGCCTCGAGGACAAGTCGTTGGAAAATATAGGACTTGTTCATTTTATAACCCAAATAATATTTTTACAGTGTTTTCTCTTATAAAAATAAAAATTAAACTTTTTTGTTACATTATATTTTCTCTTAACACAACTTAAGTCATGACTTGAGTTGTGCAAATGAACATATTCATAATCTTTGGACTTCCCTCCCTTGAGAGTTTGACTTTAAGGAAATGCAGGGAGTTGAAGCGCATTGAAATTTGTGGAGCGCCTGAAGACTATATAACACTTGAAAAATTCAGTGGTCAAGAAGCAGTGGAGCTATCAATTAAGGCCTCATTTAGTCGCTGATTTGAGTTTTTAATTCGAGTTGAGATGTAATTTTATGTGAAAGTTTTTAACTGTAGCAGAAAAAGTTACAATTGACTTTTTATGAGAGCTTTTAACTGTAACAAAACTGAAATTGAAAACTCGAATCAATAAAATGAACGAGGCCTAAAACTCCAAAGCAAGTTTCTTTCTGTTATAAGGGTGATTCAAGGTTTAGCATAAAGATATTGTCACCAAATCTGTTGAATGGAAACTTCAAAATCCGCCAGTACTCTAAGGACGGGTACTATAACGCCAATTGGTATATCGATCTTATAAGTTTTCTGTCAAAAGTCAATTTCTCCTGGAACCATGTGAACTTGCGTGTTCTCTCAGAGGAGGTATGTCCAAAAGTAATTGTAACACCCACTTAATTAGAAAACTAATTAAGTGTGGTTGTTATGTAAATAGAGTTTTTTAGTTTGCCTAATTTTTTTAAAAAAAATAATTTTAAATATTGATATTTTTGGGTTTAAGTTTAATTTTACACCTGTTGGATTGAATTTTTAATTTGAGTTAAGATGTAATTTATGTGAGAAATTTTTATTATAGCAGAAAAAATTAAATGTGACTTTTTATGAGAGCTTTTAACTGTAGCAAAATTGACATTAAAAACTCGAATTAGTGAAATGAACGAAGCTTTAGAGTCTATCTTGAGTAGTTGAGTGTAAATAAAGTAACCTCACAATCTTCACTTCACTTTCCCTCTCTACCGTCTCTCTCTGTCTCTCTTTCTCTCTAAACTTCTAAAGCATGAAACCAAACTTTTTCATTAGGTATCGTTCATTTCACTGATTCGAGTTTTCAGTTTTAGGTTTTTACAGTTTAAAACTATAAAAAAATGTACATTTAACCTTTTGTGCTACAATTAAAGGCTTTTAGATAATGTCACACATAATTTCGAATTGAAATTAAACTCAAATCCGCGAAGTGAACGATGCCTAAAACTTGAGTTTGAAAAGAACTTATACCAAAGAACGATCCTTCATCTACAATTGGGGATAATCATGAGATTAAAACACCAAGCTTTTGGACCAAATCCAAATTTGAGGTTAGTTTCGTTTCAAAACTTTCAGTTTTGCTATTCTTTGAATCTGAGATTCTATCCTTAAGCTTTTTCTTTTGATATTTGAACTTGTGATGAAGATTTAGTTTTGGAATTCCTAGAACAGAACCGAATTGAATGTTTGAGTTTTGGTTTTCATGTATGAATTGATGGGTTTAAAAAGGGATTTTGATTAGCAATATTGTTGAAGATTTTGAGAACAGA